AGATATTTCAAAAACATTAATGTATGATTTTCATTATAACTATATGATTAAAAAGTTTAGTAAAATCAAATTATTGTATACAGATACGGATAGTTTAATATATCATATATTTACAAATGATTTTTACACTGATATAAAACCTGACCTTTCATCATACTTTGATACCTCAGATTATGATACAAATAATATTTTTGAATATCCAAAATTAAATAAAAAGAAATTAGGTTTTTTTAAAGATGAAAATAATGGTAAAATCATGAAAGAATTTGTGGGTTTACGATCCAAAATGTACGCTTTTAACTTAGAGAATAAGACTATAGCCAAGGCAAAAGGGGTAAATAAATGTATCACTAAAAAGATGACAATGAATAGTTATAAGTCTTCTCTATTTAATAAAAAAGTGCAATATTATAGTATGCTTAGATTTAAATCAATTAAACACACAATTTTCACACAAAAATTAAATAAGATAGGTTTATCATATAATGACACAAAGAGACATATTTTAGATAATAATATTGAAACATTAGCTTGGGGTCATTATAAACTGCGTTAAGTGTTGATAGTTTTTACTTTTATGTCTGCGTTTAAGAAAAATTTATATTGATTGTAAAATTATGATAATACTATAATATGACGTAGTTTATTACATATTTAAACATTGTTTTATTGTAAATAATTTAAGTTAATTGTTGTTTCTATTTATTTGAGGTTGAGTTAATTGTAAAATTATGATGTACTAATTGTTGTTTCTATTTATTTGAGGTTGAGTTAATTGTAAAATTATGATGTACTAATTGTGTTAGAAATAGTATACAGATAATTCTGTTTTATATAATTTTTGGAATATATATTAATTGTTTACACCAACACTTTCATTTTTTATTTCACCCCTTTGAACTTTAGACGTGTGTTATGTTTCACTTTATCCATCCGTTCACTGCTATTGTGGCAGGACCAAGTGGATGTGGGAAGTCAAATTTTGTAACAAATTTCATAAAATCAGTTACAGAAATATGTAATTGTGATTTTAATCAGATCACATGGTGCTTTGATGAAATGCAACCATTATATAATTTACCAAATGTTAACTATCATCAAGGAATTCCAAATCTTAATATGTTTGATGGTGAAAACCCACATCTTGTTATTATTGATGATCTAATGAGAGAGTCCGATGGAAGAATTGTGGATATATTTACAAAAAGTAGTCATCACAGGAATCTTAGTGTATTTTATCTAACACAAAATTTATTTCATCAGGGTAAAGGACAAAGAGACATATCTTTAAACTCAAGTTATATAATATATTTTAAAAACCCTCGAGATAAAACTCAAATAAGATATTTAGCAAGACAAGTATCACCAGATAACCCAAAATTCATTGAAAATGCCTACAGGGATGCAACTCTAGAGGCACATGGATATTTAATGGTAGATTTAAAACAGAATACCAATGATTTTTGTCGTATCAAGACAAATGTCTTTCCATTTAATGGTTTCTGTACAGTCTACGTCCCCACAAAAGAGTTTAAATACACCAAGAATCAAACAATTGAAATCATTGCTAAATGATGCATCGTCGACTCACAACGTATAAACATTTGCTAACCGCTTTGCATACGCTTAAACCAAAATATCAAAGAGCATTACTTAAAACGTGTGATGAAGAAGAAATTAACTGTATTTGTGAGTGTATTCATAACGTTTTACAAGGAAAAGTACCTCTTAAAGATCAGGATAAACAAAAATTGAATAAACATAAAAACATACTCCGTAAACTAGTACGTAAGTGTAAACATAAACTAAGAAAAAATATAATTATACAAAAAGGAGGGGCTTTCTTACCAACAATATTAGGTGCAATATTGAGTGGATTAGTGAGTGGACTAGCCAGTTAACATGGAAGATGCAAAGAAAATGATACTTATCGAACCTGGATTGATTGAAAAATTAAAACAAGAAAATAAGGTTAATAGTAATTTATCTCGATTAGATATTGAAATGCAAAATATTATGAATAGTAAGACGGAAGACCGAAAGAAATGGATATTATATTTACAAACACTGCAAAGATACCTTCATTTTACCGAAGAGGATCGTCAACCACTCAAATTACCAATTTATTCTGATACATCTAATGAAGATTCAAATGAGTCAAAAATTGGTTTTAAAAATAAAGATAGAGATCTAAAAACTTCAGTTGATATTGAATCTTTGCTGGAGGAGAATCGATCCATTAAAAGTAAAGAAAATGATGAAAATCCACTTTACACACCAGCTCAAATACTCAGTTTAATACCAAAAACTTATCATAAAAAAGGGCAGTTATTATTAAACTTAGTTGAAACAAGTAAAAACAAAATACATTGGGATAACGAAGGTACAGTCATAATTGATAGTGAAAAAATTCCTGGAAGTAATATTGTTGATTTAATAAATGATTCACTAAGACCCCTAAAAAGAAGTGATCCGGTAGGGTGGGTTAGATTTGCTGAAGCATTAAAAGATATTAAAGTACCACTTACTTATATTGGAAATCCAAGGAGATGTGAGTTTATTAACCAACTTCAAGCAAAAGATCTGAACAAACCCTCTGAGATTGAAGTTCAAGAGTTTTCTACACCGTGCAGTAGAGATAAAAAGTCTACAACTAAAATACGTAAAGGACTTGAGTGGGAAAAATGGACTCCGTACTAGAAGAAATTAACAGGATTTATTATGATCCATCTAATCCCGCTGGTTTTGGTAGTATTGATAAATTATCAAAAGCCATGAAGGGTAAAATGAATAAAAAGCAAGTAAAGGAATGGTTAAAATCACAAGAAACATACACATTACATAAACCCATTCGAAAAAAATTCCCGCGTAATAGGTACATTCTATCAAATATTAATGAACTGTGGCAAGCTGATTTAAGTGATATGCGAACTTATTCTCAATATAATGATGGTTTCAAGTATATACTTTGTATTATTGATGTATTTAGTAAATATGCTTTTGCAAGACCAATGAAAAAGAAAAATTCAGAAACAACTAAAGAATGTTTTGAAAGTATATTTACTGAAAGTAATTTAACACCTACTCACATACAATCCGATAAAGGTACCGAATTTGTTTCAAAAGATGTACAAAAATACTTTAAATCCAAAAAGATTAATTACTATACCACTAACAATCCTGACATTAAGGCCAGTATTGTTGAACGATTTCAAAGAACACTAAAAATGAAAATGTGGCGTTATTTCACTCATAATAATACTTATAGATATATAGATGTTTTACAAGATTTAATATACTCTTATAATCACAGCTTTCACTCTAGTATTAAGATGTGCCCATGTGATGTAAATTCCAACAATATTATGACAGTTTGGACTAATCTTTATGACAGACGGTCAAAAAAACTTTCTTTAGAAAATCCTAAACCAAATTTCAATGTGGGTGATTATGTTCGAATAACTAAATATAAACATGTATTCCAAAAAGGATATGAATCAAATTGGAGTGATGAAATATTTATTATATCTTCAATAATTGATAGATCTCCATGGGTTGTTTATACAATAACAGATTTACAAAATGAACCAATAATTGGTACTTTTTATGAAAGAGAATTACAGAAAATCACTTACAACCCCACCTCACAACATAAAATAGATAAAATCATTGACACTCGTTATTCAGGTAACAGAAAAGAAGTATTAGTGAAGTGGAAAGGTTATCCAGATAAATTTAACAGTTGGATTTTAGCTTCTAGTTTAAAAGAAATATGAATAAAGAAAGTTTCTATTTAACTTTGCTCAGCAATAGTTCAATGGAATACTTTCCTGATAACAAGACCACAAATTTTTCAACGAAATTACCAAAAGCTATAAAATTAGAAGGTGAATGGTCGGTTGGAGTTGTCGAGTTTCAATATCCATGTACCATGTTTACTGTTCAAGACCATGAAAATGTTATATACATTACAAAATCTATGTTAATGCCTAATGAAGATAAGCCATCCACAGTGTACTACAAAAAACATATTCCAGCTACCAACTATGATAACGTTGAGCATATTTTAAGAGTGTTAAATGGTATCGGAGAGAACTTGAAATTTCGCTATGATGAAATAACAAAATTTGTGTCTATTTCGGTATTGGATAAAAATATAACATCCGTAACATTATCACCCAAATTAAGTTTACAGCTAGGTTATGAACCAAATAAAAATCTCCTAGAGAGAAATTTTGGAAAGTGTCCTGCTAATTTACACTTAGGGTTACCATCTCAACTATTTCTATATTGCGATATTATCGATCCTCAGATTGTGGGTGATGTTATGACTCCTTTATTAAGAGTCATTTCATTAGATCCTACAAAATACATTTATGGTGCAAATAAAATGCACGTTTTCTCTCAACCTCACTACTTACCTGTTATGCGAAGAGAGTTCGATACGTTGGAAATAGTTATAAGATCGAGTACAGGACAAAAAATACCATTCCAGTTTGGAACCGTGTGTATTAAACTACATTTCCGAAAATTATAATAATGAATTCTCTTCGTGATCATCATAAATGTCCATATGAAAATTATTATACACATCAAGCTGGATCAGGAGTTGGAGTAATTTATAAGGGTTCACCATATCAACGCGGTCATGGTATTGGGAGCTTCTTAGGGGGGTTATTCAGATCAGTTTTACCTTTACTTTCAAGTGGTGCTCGAGTGATTGGTAAGGAGGCATTAAGCGCTGGAGTAGGACTTTTATCGGATATGGTTCAAGCCCGTCCTATGGAAGCCTCAATAAAAGATCGTCTAAAGCAAGTTAGTACGAATTTAAAACGAAAGGCTGATGAGAAAATTGATCAATTTAACATGACTGGATCTGGGTATAAAACTAAAAGAAAACGATTGACATCGTTCATTCCACCATTAACTGCTAAAGTGAAAGCTGCGAAAAAACTTAGTCTAAAACCAAAAAATATCAAAGATATATTTTCAAACTAAATATGTCTTTCCTTCATAATCATTCTTGCGAGTGCGTTAAGTCAGAATTGGATTTGTTTGCACTACCGTCTACACAAACTAGCATTGAAAATGGATTGTGGATTCATTATAAACCAATTTCATCTCTTGGTGATGATGGACCTATCGAGTTTCAAGTTCCTGGGACCGGCGATGACTACATAGATTTGTCTCATACATTACTCCACATAAAGGCAAAAGTATTAAATCAAGATTCAACTAACTTGGTATCTACTACAATAGTAGCACCTGTAAATAATTGGCTGCATTCACTTTTTAGTCAACTTGATGTTTATTTAAACCAAAAACTTGTATCACCACCTAATAATACCTATGCATATCGAGCATACATGGAAACCCTTTTAAACTATGCCCCTGCTGCTAAACAATCTCATCTTACTTGTAGTCTTTGGTATGAGGATACAGCAGGAAAAATGGATTCTACAGATGGTAAAAACATAGGATTTGTTAAAAGACAGGAATTGATTAGTGAAAGTAAGGAAATAGAAATGATTGGTCATCTTCACGGTGACATTTTTAACCAAGATAAATTTTTAATTAATGGTGTTGAAATGAGTGTTAAATTGGTTCGATCAAGAGAGAGTTTTAATTTAATTGTTGGGTCGAACGATGTAAAGTTTAAAGTTTGCATTACGGACGCAACTCTTATTGTGCGACGAGCACGAATTAATCCAAGTGTATTACTCGCACATCAAAAAGTTTTAGCTTCTACCACTGCTAAATATCCTATTACTCGAGCTGAAGTAAAAGTTTTAACAATTCCTTCAGGTGTTCAAGGAAAAACTCTTGATAATATATTTTTAGGACAGGTACCGAAAAGATGTATAATTGGATTTGTGAACAATTCTGCATTTAATGGTTCCCTTACTAAAAATCCATTTAACTTTGAAAACTATGGTATTAATTCTTTCAGCTTATATATTGATGGTCAACAAATACCTTCAAAAGCTTTGCAACCATCTTTTAATAATAGCATATTTACATCAGCATATCATACTCTATTCTCGGGAACTGGTATTCACTTTCTTAATGAAGGAAATGGAATCTCTTGTGAACAGTATGGCAAAGGTTACTGTCTATTAGCATTTGACTTAACTCCTGATTTATCAGCTAACTCATCAACTCATTGGAATCTCATAAAGCATGGTAGTGTAAGAATAGAAGTACGATTTGAATCCTCATTAATACAAACAATTAACTGTATAGTTTATGCTGAGTTTGATAATATTATTGAGATAGATAAAAACAGAAATGTTACTGTAGACTTTAGTAGTTAAGGTTATAATATGTGTTGTGTGTTAGATTTTATGTGTTATGTGTAATGCATTTTGTGTGTATGTAACTATGTGAAACGTTATAAAATTAAATAAAACAAATTGTATGCAATATATTTTTTTTATTTCTTTATAAATCTTCTATTTAATCTAATACAAAACACTGTTCGAGTTGAAATTTTACATAAGCACACTGACTAAACCACTGAACATGCTGCTGCCAAGGATCATCATCATCTTCCCAATCTTTTAAACCACCACCACAATGGAAACACTTGGTCCCGTCTGCATGGCCAGTATAAAAGAAACCAGCTTCGGCAAGATCTTCAGGTTTCTGTCGCATAACTAGAGGCCAGTTTTCGAAACTAAGCAAACGGCTAGATTTTGAACTGAAGAATGGATATTCAGCTCTTGAGTACTGCATACTCTTCTCGTTTTCTTCTCCACTCAGTGTTGTAGTTTTGTTATTCAATGATGTGTTTTGTACACGTATGCCACACTCATCTCTTCCTTCCGCTCTTGTCTTCCTGTAATTGAAGTAAACAGAATCACATTCACTAATGATCAGCTAATGACTGTCATTGTTAAAAAAGTATTTTTTAACTTTTTCACTTTCTGCTATTGTCTTTGTTATATTGTATACGAGGGCGTTTGTATTGTCGTAGATGCTATCCTTATTAGTCTTTACGTAATATTTAATTCTCGTGGAAGCATGTTTCCAATGATCAGTAGTTGGAATCTTGGATAGCTTCTTCATATCGTACATTTCAATTTTGATGAGATGCGTCGCTTGGTCTCCGTCGTCAGAATTAGTAGAAATGTATGATACACCATCTCTAGCGGCTCGTGCTACGGTTGATGATAACAGCTTCCTCTTTTTTATTTTTGATTCAGCTTCAAAAAAATGATCAATCGATTGCGATTTTCTTTTTCCACCATCGCATGTGTTATTATTAATGACGAGGTTATCACTCTCTTCTTGAGGGGAGAGTGGCGAGTAGTAATACTGTTTATAGGTATCTTCATCGAAGCTCAATGATTTCTGCAACAACACAGTTATCATGTTAATATCAATTTGTTAACACTTAATCATAAAAGTTAAAAAAGTTAAAGTTACAGCCTATTAAAGTCCACTGCTGAACATAGGCCTCCTCTCATTTCTGAGAGGGTTTTAGAGCAAGGAAATGTCCGCCGCGCTCCCTCAATGTGTGTTGGCGAACTTCACATGCCTTCGAAATTTTCTCAGACATGCAGGTTTCCTCACGATGTTTTCCTTCACCACCAAGCACGTGGTAATAAGCACTTAAAATTGCTATTAACAATTTAATTGGTGCTGGCGGGGATCGAACCCGGGTCGCGTACTGTGAAATTTACAGCTAGCGCTAACCATCTGAGTTACCACGGCTTAATCATATACATACACAATATTTAAATAAAATAATACACACACATGAAAATAACAGAAAAAAAGTAATTTAGTCAATAGAATAAACACTTACATCCATAGCCTTTGGTGTATTGAAGTAACACAAATGTACTATTGATAGATCCACTGTAGCCAAACGACCGTACACTAACTCGATGACTGCATTTGTTGGTCTTATATACCACCAGTACGTAAAAATTCTAATCTAAAGTATTTCCGTAATGAGTTGATAATTACTTTATGCGTCAACCAGTTTATCTCACATTTCCGTTGCCTATCTCAACATTTCTTCGTATTGTGTTTTGTTTGGTGATCAATGACTCAAGTACGATTTGTATAACACAAAAATGCAATTTAATATTTAGAAACATATCAGTTTATCTCACATTTCCGTTGCCTATCTCAACATTTCTTCGTATTGTGTTTTGTTTGGTGATCAATGACTCAAGTACGATTTGTATATCACAAAAATGCAATTTAATATGTAGAAATCACTATAATTGACCATTCCTATGTTATTCATTGAGTAGCTAGGTACTGTAATAATCTACTAATAGCAGTAATATCATGGATACACTAGATGTACAACAACATCTGAAAAAGATTCACCCCAGTCTAGAAAATAATGTTTATGCAGCTAATAGACTGCCTATGTATACCCACGTACCAACGTATATAATATGTAATTTGGATACAGATGATAAACCAGGGTCACATTGGGTAGCTTTATATATCGATACGAATGACGTCGGTCAATATTTTGATTCATATGGACGATCACCTGTACGATATCATCTAGAGTTTTTAAAAAGGAATTGTAAAAGATGGAACTGGAATGTTGATAGGATTCAGAATGAGTGGACTTCAGTTTGTGGCGAATATTGCTTAATGTATTTACTATATAAGTTTCAAGGATGTTCAATACATAGTTTTACGAGTATATTTACAAGGAACACATTGTACAACGATATTTTAGTGGATGAGATGTTTCGCTCCTATTTTATAGATAATAATTAATAAGATTTTGTATTTTATAAATAAAAATTGTAACAAAATTATGTAATGTGTTTTATTGATGATTCAGATTAGCGTTGTATAATTAGGAACAAAGAACTATAACACAATAGCACTGGTATAGTCGACGCACACGCTGCAATGAAGGTGATTAATGAACAATAGAACAATAGAAATAGGAACAACAATGGGACGCTAATGACGGTGGAGGCCCTTAGCCGGATATCAATTAGATATTAGCTAATTGATCTACACATCTCTGGAACCGTGCATTCTACACAAAAATGGACCGCGGATTCGTGATCAGAGCATGCCAAAACCTTTTTTTTTTTTTTTTTTTTTTTTTTTTTTTTTTTTTTTTAGGATCGGGCGTCGACGAACGTCGTTGAACCACGTCTGACTCAGGTGGTCTAGAAGTGGTACAACTACACTACTTCTGCAAGACCCGCCGCAGAAGAACACAAAAACTCTCCGATCACACTCTTAATCTCATGGCTGTTAGACGGGAGATGAAGCTACATTCTTCAACAGACTTGACAGCATACAGGCATCTGAACAGACAGATCTCCAAATGCATGCGGCGGGATTTACGCAACTTCAATACAGCTCGTATTGAAGAAGCGATCGAGCGGAACCAAGGCTCCAAAGTCTTTGCCAGAGATCTGTCTGCCAGAAAGAGCCAACTGTCAAAGCTGAAGACAGAATGTGGCAGCATCGTTTCCGGGACACCTGAGATTTTGAGTGAGATTGAGAGGTTCTATGGGCAGTTGTACACGTCATCGTTGGAGCCACACGCAAGTGTGAGTAACGATCCAAGAGCGAGTCTCATCCGACACTATTCCGAAGATATCCCGGACGTCAGTCTGAGCGAGATTAGAATGGCTCTCCAGCACCTTAAAAACGGTAAGGCCTCAGGCGGGGATGGAATTACAGCGGAGCTTCTGAAAGCGGGTGGAAAACCGGTACTTGAAGTCCTTCAGAAGCTCTTTAATTCCGTCCTCCATGGTGGCATTACACCGGAGGCGTGGAGCAGAAGTGCGGTGGTCTTGTTCTTCAAGAAAGGTGACAACGCTCTCTTGAAGAACTACAGACCGATTTCCCTTCTGAGCCGCGTCTACGTACTGTTTTCGAGAGTCATTACGAATCGTCTCGCGCGCAGACTTGACGACTTCCAGCCTCCCGAACAAGCCGGTTTCCGAAAGGGCTTTAGCACCATAGACCACATACATACCCTTCGGCAAATTGTACAGAAGTCCGAAGAGTACTATTTGCCACTATGTATGGCGTATGTGGACTATGAGAAAGCCTTTGATTCCGTCGAAATTTGGGCGGTGCTGCAGTCCCTTCAGCGGTGCCAAGTTGACTGTCGGTATATCGAAGTGTTGAAGTGCTTGTACAGTAGGGCTACGATGGCTATCCGAGTACAGAGCCAGAGTACGAAACCTATCCAATTGCAGAGAGGTGTAAGACAGGGTGACGTCATATCCCCGAAACTCTTCACCGCTGCATTGGAAGACGTTTTCAAGCTTCTGGACTGGAAAGGATACGGTATCAACATCAATGGCGAGTACATCACTCACCTTCGATTTGCCGACGATATAGTCCTTATGGCAGAATCGCTGGAGGACCTAAGCACTATGCTCAATGCGCTCAATAGTGTTTCCCAACGGATAGGTCTTAAGATGAACATGGACAAAACTAAGATCATGTTTAATGTCCATGTCACACCTATGCCGGTAGTTGTTGGGAACACTAAGCTCGAAGTTGTTGACGAGTATGTTTACCTGGGACAAATAGTCCGACTAGGTAAGTCCAACTTCGACCGAGAGGTCAATCGACGGATTCAACTCGGTTGGGCAGCGTTCGGGAAATTACGGCACATCTTCTCGTCAGGTATACCTCAAACCTTGAAAACGAGACTGTACACCCAGTGCGTGTTGCCAGTGATGACTTACGGAACTGAGACGTGGTCCTTCACTGCTGGCCGGATGAGGAAGCTCAAGGTCGCTCAGCGAGCTATGGAGAGGGCTATGCTCGGAGTTTCTCTGCGTGATAAACTTAGGAATGAGGATATCCGCAGTAGAACCAGAGTAACCGACATAGCCCAACGGATTAGTAAGCTGAAGTGGCAATGGGCCGGCCATATAGCTCGAAGAACCGACAACCGATGGGGAAGAAAGGTTCTCGAGTGGCAGCCTCGTACCGGTAGGCGAAGTGTAGGGCGTCCCCCCACGAGATGGAGTGACGACCTGGTAAGACATGCAGGAAGTCGATGGATGCAGGTGGCTCAGGACCGTGCTTTGTGGCATTCTTTGGGGGAGGCCTATGTTCAGCAGTGGACTTGTGAAGGGCTGTAATGATAATGATGATGATGACACTACTTATAGTTGCCACGCTTGGCAGGCGGGTTGGTTACCGCAGCATTTATTATTTTTAAACCGTTGTCAGGGAGGTGATATTGCCCATCTCCTATTTGTTTTCCTCTGTCGCCTCTTAGGACACACACGGAACAATATGAGGTGGCGGATTCTCTTTCGCCTCCACAACAAGGCGAACATTTTTC